AAATAAGAGGCAAAAAAAAAGTTTAATAGAGGAAAAGCCTCTCGGTCTCTGAGCTCAATGCAAGATGTCAGAGAGCATCAAACTATTTTTTTAAATATTAGAAAATTAATTTAATTTCACATAATTATCGCGGTAGAAGCCATTTGTTTGTTAAATACTTATTGAAACATATTTACCGTGTTTGATGTTTGTTGTGAATGACGTATACTCACAAAGAACGAGATAATAAGTTCAAGTTTGTCGTTTATTGAACGTTCAGAAACTACAGCGGCTGCGCCAAGGTAAACAAAGATAAAACAACCCGAAGAGGTGATCAACTCTAAACCACTCGCACCTTTTTACTCTCCGTCTCTATTTGCCATTTAAGCACACCCGTTGCCGTGGAAACCGCCTGCGCTCCGCAAGCCGAGCAGGGACTACATTAAAAACATAACATTCAGTCCGTTACGATATCAGGTTTTCAGGCTTGATATTTATTTTGTGATTATTAATAAGCCTCTCATGAACACAGCGGTGGTTGATTAGTTAATTTTAAACTCCTGCTCTGCTAGTTATTAATGGAACCGAAACGCACAGAATTGCGCAACACCTGATTGAAACAATAATTACAGAGGTCATTATTTTTGTTGGGTCATTAATTTGAACACGTTTTGTTGATTTTTTGTTGTTCTTTAATAAAGCTACGAACGTTTTGATAAGGAGTCAGAGCAGGACGTGCTGGTCTCAGCGTCCTGACGGCGTTTAGTTTGTCATCTAATGCCCAGATCGACTCAAAACCTCCCGATCAACGTGTTGCTCCCCTGCTCTAGCAAAGCACGAACAGTTCAGAAACAATATGAAATGGGGGAAAAGCTGTTTATTAACTAATGACGTCGTGTTTTAGATTGTTCTTGAACAACTAATCACTCACGGCTGATTAGTGAAGCCATAGATTCTTTACAGCAGACAGCTGCTCCCCTCTGTTTGTCCTTGGGGAGAAAGATCTATATCAAATGCTCCAGTTTGTCACTGTAACGTCTGCAAGGATTGTATTAGAATTTTGTATTAACTTTGGTTTTTCTAAACAAAACTAGTGTTCTGATTTTAATCTCCTCAGTTTTTAGAGAATAAACAATAGGATTAATGCAAGGAGGCATGCAAGATGCCAGCGACAGACTCAGAACTCTCTTCTCTGGGTCCACTACCCTTGAAAAAAACCCAATGCTGAAAATAACAAGGAGAGGAATATAAAATATAGCAACAACAATAATATGTTCAACACATGTGGCCAAAGTTTTCACTCGTCGGTCCACAGATTTCATCTTGAACACAGTCACCAGGATGCTCACATAGGAGAGCAGGATGAAAATGAAAGGTCCTCCCAGGGTCAGAACAGAGAGGGATGAAGATGCCGACCACTGCAGTGAATAATCGTTACAGGCAAGTCGAAACACAGGTGCATAGTCACAGAAATAACTGAACACCCTGACAGAGTTGCAAAAAGACAGTCGAGTCATTGAGCTTACAGAAAACGTTATAATTCCCACAATAAAACACCAAGAAGCAAAAATAATCCAGCACATGCTGCGCACTGTGTTGATTGAGTTCTGCCTGAAGGGGAAACATATAGCAATCAGCCTGTCATAGGCCAGTATAGTGAGTGCATAAGACTCCAGAGCTGCAAATGCATAATATACAAACATCTGAACAAGACACAGGTTAAACGGAATAAAATTGTCTTTAATGAGAAAAATCTTTATCATGCCAGGAATGGTGCAGGAGTTAAGCACTAAATCTATCACTGCCAGGTTGGTGATGGCCAAGAATTTTGGAGTGTGCAAACTGTGACTCACAGCAATTGTATAAATCAGCAAACAGTTAAACATCACTGAAAATATATAAACAAATGCCAGGAAGATGAAATACACAGATATGAAGGGAAATGACTCAAATCCAACAATGTAGAAACCTGGAGGGTGAATGATGACAGAAGTGTTTGAAACAGTCCTAGAGGAAGACATCACTGATTCCCACAGCGTTTGCTGGAAGATGGAGCCTCAGTAAGAAAATCTTTAATCTGAAAGCAGAAAAGACAAGGTTTGTCAGAAATACTAGCAAAATTAAAATGAAAACCATAAATTCTGCATGGTCTAAGATAGTTTTAAATTGCTTTACCTAATGTTCCTCCCATGTTGTTCGCTGCAACTCTTTTGGAGGCTTCTTTCAGTGTCGGCAGCAGGAAGATATCTGCGAATGTGACTGTGTGTACCAATATTTTTAAAGCCCATCCCATGAGTTTAGTCTCAAAAAGTAATTGTGAAATACCTCATTTGTTCTAGTAAATTGGTCCATTGAGAGGCCAAGTTCATGGCTTACACTTTGTGTTTGTTATGATCAAAACAAAGTTCTAATTACCTGAAAGATTAATTGAAACGCACAGCCTTTTGCAAATTATATCAACTGGTTGAATCTGTAAAAAATACATGTTTTGATGGACTGCCTTACAACATGCTTTATCAACATCCTGTAGCTACTGATCTTTGTTGTTTCCAATTTACACATTCATGTTTAAGCTTTTCTTTGTTATTTTATAATATATGATTGCCCAGACCCATGTGACTGTCGATCCTTCTTGACTTTCAAAAGT